GGCTCCATGGAAGATGGCCGTTGAGCGGGCTTTCGCCGCTGAGGGGTGCAAGGCCACCTGGTACAACCAGACCTGGCTGCCCCCGACGAAGGAGGATGTCATCTGCCTTCTGGATGCCGAGGGCCCGTTCATCCACGACATGACTGAAGAACGCTTTTTGACCCTGAAACGATTCTTTCTCGGCCGAACAGAGGCCATTACGCTCTGGGTGACCGCCCCCGCCCAAATCCACTGTCAGGATCCACGATATGGCGCGATACACGGGTTTCTCCGATCGGTTCGCGTCGAGCTGGGCAAGAGCTTCATGACCATGTTCGAGGTAGATCTCCAGGATGCGAGCGCCCCCGGTCACATATATCAGGTCTATCGGGAGCTCTGCTCCCAACGGGAGCTTCGACGTGGTAATCTCGAAACAGAGTATTCTGTTCATGATGGCGTAATCCATGTCCCCCGGATTTATCCAGTTGATCTCATCGCGGAACTCCCTCATCGGCCGGTCGATGCTCACACGCCCAAGCAGCTCGCTTTGGGACAAATCGGAGTGCTGAGTTCGTTTTACTGGATCCCCAAGGATCCCCCCTCACCTGGTCCCACGGACGTGGTCGTAGAGGTCAAGTTTATCGGCCTGAACTTCAGGGTAAGAATTTCCACGGTGTATGACCGTGGGATTCAGACTGACAGAAACAGGATGTGGCCGTGGCTCATGGTATCCTCGGTGCTCCACACGAGATCGGTCTGGAAGGATCTGGAATTATAAGCCAAGCTGGGAGCGAGGTGTCTAATTTCCAGGTAGGACAACGGGTCGCGTTTCTAGCACCAGGCTGTGGTGGCACCGTGATTACAGTTTCAGCCAGTTCTCTCCTGAGGATCCCAGAGAATTGGTCTCTGGAAGACGGGGCAACGGTGCCAGCCGTCTATTCTACTATCGTCTACTGCTTGGATTTTGTTGGGAGGTTGAAAGCCGGACAGGTGATGCTTCTTATGCCATCCAATCAAAGCGAAAGAACCCTGTAGCTGACTTGAAGCCAGTCGGTTCTCATCCACTCAGCCTGCGGAGGTGTCGGATTGGCTGCGGTCCAGCTCTGCCGGTTACGAGGAGCAGAGGTGAGTTGGAATAGTGGTCGGTACAGCCTTCAAACCACGTCAGGGTTGATTGATTGTAGGTGTATGTTACGGTCGGGACCGCCGACAAGGTAGAGTACCTGGTCAACACCTACCAGATCTCACGCTCGCGCATCTTCCACTCTCGGGACGCATCGTTCTACGCGGAACTCATGCGTGAGACCAACCAACGCGGGGTTGACATCGTCCTCAACTCGCTCTCTGGGGAGTTGCTGCATGTATCGTGGAACTGCGTTGCGAAACAGGGGACCATGATCGAGATCGGCAAACGAGACATTCTCTCCCATGGGATGCTTCCTCTGAGCCCGTTCCAGCACGGACGATCTTTTGTGGTAGTAGACCTCTTCTCCGTGGGGTCCACGTTAGGCCATCAGTATGTCCTCCCCCGATGATCCTTAGATAACGGTACCCTAAAGCGCCTAGACTGACTGACCTTAAACGCAGATTGTTGGAAGGCAACGTCCAAAGGTACATGGATGCAGGAGACATCGTCCCCGTTCGTCAAGCGAGCTGTTTCTCGGCGTCCGAAGTTGGTGCCGCAATCAAATGCATGCAGACGGGGAACCATATCGGTAAGATCCTCGTCCGAATGCCTCATCAGTCCGATCTGTCAGGCCTGGACGTGAAATCATCGGCTCTGCCCATGACGTTTTCCCCTGAACATAGCTATTTCCTCGCCGGTGGCCTTGGGGGCGTCGGACGGGCCATCTCCACCTGGATGGTGGAACAAGGTGCTCGGTATTTCACGTATCTCTCACCGCATGCCGGACAGACCGTTGAACACCGGGCCTTCCTGGCCGAGCTGGCAGCCCAGGGCTGCCAAGCCGTGGCGGTGGTCGGTCAGGCAGAGAACATGCAAGACGTCCGAACTGCGATCGCCCAGAGTGCCCGCCCGGTGCGGGGGGTGATCCAGTTGGCCTTGGACTTGAAGGTACGGGTGCTCCGTATGGGCTACGGCGTCGTTGCTCACCGATCGTACAGGACTCCGGTCTACAGGAGATGGCCTTTCCAGACTGGCATGCCGCCTATGCACCGAAGGCAAAAGGGGCGTGGAATCTCCACGAGGCCTTGGAGAAAACAGCGCTGGATTTCTTCGTGCTCTGCGGGTCTCTGGTTGGCGCGGTAGGAAATCGTAGACAGTCCAATTACGCAGCGGCCAACACGTTCATGACGGCTCTATGCCTATACCGCCAGTCTTTGGGGCAGCCAGCGGGGATCGTGGACCTCGGCGGGGTGGCGGACGTCGGCTACCTCGCCGACAATCCCCCGATCATGCAGTATTTCGAGGCGCAGGGGTTCAAGCTGCTCCGGGAGCACGACGTAATATTGGGTCTTCGATCCCAGCTGCAGCCCTGCACCATATCCCAGCCCTCGCAGTCCGTGATCTCCCGTCACCAGCTGCTTGTCGGGCTGATGTCGCCCAGGAAATCACTCGAGGACTACGACGACCCCCGTTTCCACATCCTGAGTAACATGCACACTGACGACAACGAGCCCAACCGGGGTCAGTCGGACGACGCAGGTATGAACCAGTTTCTCCTCCAGGTGGACGCAGATCCGAGCCTGCTGGAGCAGCCATCCACGGAGGAATTCCTCGTTGTCCAGCTCGGCTCCAAGATGAGCCCGACCAAGGCGGACAACCTGGTCGCGCTGGGGCAGCTGCCGATCGACTCGCTCGCGGCGGTCGAGATGCGGGCCTGGGCCCGGCGCCGGCTGGGTGTGGATGTTTCCCCCGCGGAGATCGCCGCCGCCGAAACGGTGCATGGCTTCGCCCAGTTGGCCATCCGCGCTCTCCGCGCGCGTCACAGTCAGATCGCGGACTCGTCGTAGACCTTGACCGACATGGTCCTTTCTGGCGGTGTCCCTTTTGCCCCCTGTCTCGCTTTGCAAGTCTAGCACATCAGTCCAATCGATCAAACAATCAATTACATTCAAACATTATTCCTGTAGTAACTAGGACAGAATAGACCATAGTCGTAGTCATGCTGTTCGGTGTCGTTCTCCACCTTTACGGGCCCGTTCATTCAATGCGGCCCCGATTCACCACCAAGCCTTCCAGGACCGCGATCGCCGCCCAGAGTCGATTCTCCGCTTCGGGGAACACGAGGGAGCGCGGCCCATAGAACACCTCGTCACTCACCTCCTCCGGGTGACGCGGCAAGCAATGCATGAACTTCCACCCTGGCTTGGCTCCGCCCCGCTTGGCCAGATCGGCTGTGATCTGGAACCCTTCAAAGTCGGCCAGACGCCGGCGCTTGTCCGCCTCCTGCCCCATGGAGACCCAGGTGTCCGTCACCAGAAGGTCCGCGCCCTGGACCGCCTCCTCCGGGACATTGGTCCGGTGCAGTTGTCCCGCACGCGGGGCCCCGGTCCCCTGCCGCGCCTCCTCAATGACGGCGAGCATCCCCGCGGGGATCTCGTAGCCCTGGGGCGTCGCGACGGCGAGGTCGACGCCCATCTTGGCGGCGGCGATGGCCATGTCGAACAGAACATTGTTGGCATCCCCGACCCAGGCAATCTTCAGCCCCTCCAGGCCCAGGCAGGAGAGGCGGTGGGCCTTGGGGGTGAAGGTCTCGTGGATGGTCTGGAAATCGGCCACGGCCTGCAGCGGATGATAGCGGTCACACAGCGCGTTGATCACGGGGACCGTCGAGTGCTTGGCCAGATCCGCGACCTCGGCGTGCTTGGCGACGCGTGCGACCAACGCCGAGACCATGGACGAGACGACCACGGCCGTGTCGTAGGACGACTCGTTCACCCCGAGCTGGATATCGTCCTTGCCCAAGAACATCGGATGACCGCCCATCTGGGCCACGGCCCCCTCGGTGGAGATGCGGGTCCGCGTACTGCGTTTATTGAAGATCATCGCCACCGTTTTGCCGGTCAACGACCCCGCCAAGTTCTGCTGGATGGAGCCCGACCGGCCGTCCTTCTTATGAGCGGAGGCATTGCGCACGAGGGTCGCGAATTCTGTCGACGTTAGATCGGCGATGGACAGGAGATGCCGGGGCGCGAAGGGCGACGTTGGCGGGACCGCCTGGGCTGCCGAGGCGAATTGACGACGCCAGGCGTGCGCTGTATGAGCGCGAGCCGATCCCGGTAGACGGGAGATCGACATGGTGGGCGATCTGACTGGAAATGAGCCGATGGGCAATCGGATCGGGCGAGGTATGGGACCAGAACGGTTCTAATTCTCAACTGACAAAGAAGCAGGAAATGGAATCGTCAAATGTCCGAGAACGACCAAAGCGAGGAATTGGATGGATGAAGGTGAAGATGAAGTCGTAGATGGAGGGGAGGAGTGATGACGCAAGAGACAAACCGGGCAAACAGGGAAGCCCGACGGCCTGAGGCAACCGGCATGGCACCCGCTTGTTGGGGATGGACGGCCTCTCCAGCATTGACGGTCGGCAGTCCATCCTAGTGGGTGGTCGTATCGCGTGTTCGTCTGCTCAATATACCCTCGGTGTAGAACCATGATATGGCGGGCTTCACTCTCGGTATCTAGTCATTCTCCGAGGCACAACCACCCGGAGGAGGGTCAGACATATATCATGGAGACTGGCGAACAAACCAGACACACCGCGATCCCTGTTATGACCAACCCTGGGGTGTTGCTCACCACTCGACCAAAAGGCATACTATACTGAGCACTCTTGCTCAGTATCCCCAAGCACGCTATATATACTATACTCTAAGAGACCACAGCCGAACAATCCTCCGCCTCAGGCATCCGTCCGTGGCGGCAGACAAACCATGCAAACAACCATCGGGCTGGATCGCCGCGGCGGTCGCAGATTTCAGTCCATCATCGCGACCGATTCGGTGCTTTCCCTGGGAACGAAACGAACCCCCCGACGAAGTCCCTGCAGCTCACCATGTGGCGATCTTCGCTCCCTCTCGCGCCTTTTCGGGATGTCGCGGTGCGACCGCATGCCCGCTGTCTTCGATGCCACTTCCGCCGTCCGATTACCACCACCACTGTCCGCCCGGTGACTGCATCACGGCGCGCGTACAGCACCCCAAGCCCGGAGAGGAAGCCTGCCGACCAGCCCCTCGGTCGCAAGGCAGTCGAGTTCCAGCAGAATGCCTCTCCAGCCTCGCCAGCCTCCCCAGCGGTGCCTCCGACGCTCGACCGTCCCATCGGCTCCGTGATCCCACCCAGCCCCGGACAGAACACGGGGGTGGATGACCGATCCCTCCGCGAGCGACGGGATGATTTTGTGAACTACGACCGTCATCTCGCCCGACGGCAGGAACTGTATGTCTCTCTGGCTTGGTGAGCGGATCGATTCTAATGGAACGTGGGAGCATAGCACAAAACAGGCGGCGAAGCCATATTTCCAGGAATGGTCGAATATGAAGTATCACCAGGGCAAGACGTTCCAGTCCAACACCCGTCTATTTAAACGGGACAAGGCGCTCTACTTTCCCAACTTGCAGGGCATCACCCTCGCCTCGCCGAAGACCCCCCAGGATACCACCGCGGTGCTGCAGGGTCGGGTATCAGTCGTGAGCCTGTTCTCCAGTGTCTGGGCTGAAGCGCAGGTCGCGACATTTACGGGACCCGAGCAGAACCCGGGCCTCGCCGAGGCGCTGGCTAGTGGCGGCGTGGGCAGTGATGGGCTGGCGGCGCAGACCCAGACGGTGGCCATCAACCTGGAGGAAAACACACTGAAGGCGTGGCTGGTCCGGATGTTCATGTTCCAGATGCGGGCGAAGCTGCCGCCCGCCCAGCACGAGCGATACTTCCTGGTACGCAAGGGGCTGACCGAGGAGTTAAAGAACGCAATTGGGATGATGAATAGCAAGGTCGGCTACGTCTATCTCCTGGATGATACCTGTCGCATCCGCTGGGCGGGCAGCGGGCTGGCAGACCAGACAGAGCAGGAGGCCTTGAACCAGGGGGTCCGGCGCCTGGTGCAGGAACAGCGCGTCCGCGTTGAATCCTCGTCGCCGGCCGCGGCTTGGACCGAGGGGCCCGGATCGGCCAGTCGGCAGGCGCGGGTGGTGATGCCGTAGACGTCTGTTCGCTGTGTACTATATATGATTATAGAATCGACCTGTATATATTTTTTCTCCCTCGTATATCTACATACATAGACACTCTCCCTTGTATATCTACACATACACACTCTCCCTTGTATGTCCCCACACAGACTATGTTAACCATTTGTCATCGCAATCCAGCATCGCCGAGTCGGGAATCCGAGTTGCTCCATCGGGAACGCCGAGCTGCGTCGAGCTCCGCCCGCGGTGATTGGCCGCCACCGCCGACGGTGGGTTGGGATGCGGGGAGAGCTGCCGTGGTCGATCCAATTGATCGCCTGCAATTCTTATCATCCCAAGGGCAAAAGCTCCGAGACGGCCACCTTGCGTGGGTTGGGGTTGCTATATAAGTGGACCGTTGTCCGCAGGTGGTCTGTCTCAATCGCTGTTGTTTCCCTGTCGTTTTTCTTGCTCCCACCTCTCTCCCCTTCTTCTCCGCCGAGACCGATTGCCCGGTCTTTTCCTTATCTCGTACCGCATCTTCCCCCCGCCCTCCCTCGACTTCCCACCGTCCCCATGGCCTCCATCGCTCGCTCCAGCCTGCGCATGCGCCCGGCGATGATGCGCGCGCCGGTCGCTCGTGCCTTCGCCACGACCGGCGCCCGTCGGGTGTCCTACTTCCCCGAGGAGCCCACCGTGCCCCGGGTCGTCTCCGCGATCCCCGGCCCCAAGAACAAGGCCGCCGTCGCCGAGCTGGACAAGGTCTTTGACGTCCGCAGTGTGAACATGTTGACCGATTACTCCAAGTCGCACGGGAACTAGTAGGTGTCACGCTTCGGGGGACGAGAGCGAACGGCGGGATGACGGCTAACCCGGTGACGTAGTATCGCCGATCTGGATGGCAACCAGCTGTTGGATGTGTAAGCACTGCCCATCCCTCAGAGTGATCAGGGGAGAACAAGAAAAGAAACAAAAAAAAAGAAAGAAAGAAAGAAAGAAGAAGCAAGCTGACAATCACCAGGTATGCGCAGATCGCCTCGATCCCCGTGGGCTACAACAACCCCCACCTCAAGGAGGTCGCCACCTCCCCCGAGATGGTCTCCGCTCTGATCAACCGCCCCGCCCTGGGCAACTTCCCCTCCGCCGACTGGGGCCACATCCTGGAGACCGGTCTGCTCAAGGCGGCCCCCAAGGGCCTGAACCAGGTCTTCACCGCCATGGCGGGCTCCGACGCCAACGAGACGGCCTACAAGGCCGCCTTCATGTACTACCGCCAGCGCCAGCGCGGTGGACCCCAGACCGAGTTCACCGAGGAGGAGCTGCAGAGCACCATGCGCAACCAGGGCCCCGGCTCCCCGCAGCTGTCCATCATGTCCTTCAAGTCGGCCTTCCACGGCCGTCTCTTCGGCAGTCTGTCCACCACCCGCAGCAAGCCCATCCACAAGCTCGATATCCCCGCCTTTGACTGGCCCCAGGCCACCTTCCCCACCCTCAAGTACCCGCTGGAGGAGCACGTCCAGGAGAACGCCCAGGAGGAGAAGCGCTGCCTCGAGGAGGTCGAGCGTCTCATCCAGGAGTTCCACAACCCCGTGGCCGCCGTCGTCGTCGAGCCCATCCAGTCCGAGGGCGGCGACAACCACGCCTCCCCCGCCTTCTTCCGCGGCCTGCGGGAGATCACCCAGCGCCACCAGGTGCTCTTCATCGTCGACGAGGTCCAGACCGGCGTCGGCGCCACCGGCAAGTTCTGGGCCCACGACCACTGGAACCTGCCCACCCCGCCCGACATGGTGACCTTCTCCAAGAAGGCCCAGGCCGCCGGCTACTACTACGGCAACCCCGCCCTGCGCCCCAACAAGCCCTACCGCCAGTTCAACACCTGGATGGGCGACCCCGCCCGCGCCCTCATCTTCCGCGGCATCATCGAGGAGATCGAGCGCCTGGACCTGGTCAAGAACACCGCCGCCACGGGCGACTACCTGTACGCCGGCCTGCAGCGCCTGGCCGAGCGCTACCCCGAGCACCTGCAGAACCTGCGCGGCCAGGGCCAGGGTACCTTCATCGCCTGGGACAGCCCCCGTCGGGACGAGATCATTGCGAAGTCCAAGGCCGAGGGCATCAACATCGGCGGCAGCGGCCAGAACGCCATCCGTCTGCGTCCCATGCTGGTCTTCCAGAACCACCACGGTATGTCTCCTTTCTTCTCCCTCCGGATTCGTGACTATGGCTAACTTCTTTTTCTTTTGTAGCGGATCTTCTCCTGGAGCGTGTTGAGAAGATCATCCAGAAGCTGTAATTTCTTTTTTCTCTTTTCGAGTCGTCATTTTCGGCCCCTTTGTCTGCCTGGTTGGTCATCGTGGGTTTTACGCAACTGGCGAGATCCGGAGGGCTTCCGGACCGCCTGGAGTTTTTTTGCTTGGGTTTGGGATTTGTCTTTGAGGGATGGTTAAAAGCCTTTCGTAGGGCATGGAATAATGAATGGACGTGTTCTGATCCTGTTCGAACTGTATTATCCTTCTGTGGAGGTCCGTAGACGTATGTTCTTCTGCCTGACATTTCTTACGGGGGTAGCTAGGCCGAGCTGCCTCAAGGATACTCCATCATTACTCCTCCACAATGTTTCATTCAGGGATTTCTTGATTTCTTGATTGGTATCAATTTTTGAACTTCCACTTGAACAGGTTACCAATTCAAGAATCAGGATACAATTATACCATCACCATGATCTCAATGCACAGTCCATCCCGCCATTCCTTCTCTAGAGACCACCCCCGGCTTTCTGTTCAATCCAAGCCTGGATATCAGCTATCGTCATCCACCTTCACCTCCTTCTCCTCATGACTGTATCGATAACGCGGATGGCCAAGCCAGTTGCAGTGGACCTTCGAGTCGTAGCAATGGCCCACGATGGTACTAGTCGTCCTTCCCTTTTTGCAGTACCATTGTCCTGCCCTGAGTTCACCAAGATCAAAGATCAGCATTTTTTCCGTAAAGCAATCCAGTCCCAGCCATATCATCCGCATATTTGATGCCGGGCATCCCGCACAGCGGGCGTATATCGTGCTGATCTGGTAAAGACCCTTTTCAGACTTCGTTCCCAGTGTGGACCTCGACTGGTAATGAGGCTATGCTCCTCTCCCTTCTCGAAGCACGACCATGGTTGTTCCTAGCCCTGGTGGCCTGTTGTCATCCATCGAACTGGCTGTATCGAGTCCATCATGTTCTGGGGAGTTGCATCCAAGAGGTAAACGAATTGGGCTTAAGTCACGACGCCTCCAGAAAAGAAAAATCTAGCATGATTATTGTCCCCGAGCATGGCTTTTGACAGCCGGCATGCATCGTACGACAGGAAGATGGAGCTTGATGCGGTACTCACAGGCAAGTCACGCATTGGGTGTGAATGGATCTATCGTGGCTGGCTTCTGGACAACGCACGCAGTTGAGCCTCCTTAACACAGCCAGGCCACTGCACACAAGCACCCCAGACACGTCGGCGGGCACTTGGCCGCTAGTACGAGCATTGGCTCCGAGCGGAGAATCCATGGAATAGGGGAGCTGAGCCACTGCAGGCACGAAGTCTTCTAGACATGCCATGATAAGACGACATGCCAGATGATGGGCTCAGAGATGGAGACCTTAATAAATGAAGAGAGTGACAGAACAGGGGAGAGGAGAGAGAAAAAGAGGGCTTTTTTTCTCTTGAACGGCTGAGCAGGGTTATGATTCATCTCCCACCGGCGTTCAAATTCCCTGTTTCACCGAGTGATCACTCTTACACCTAGTGACTATAGTGCTGTATAGTTATCTGACATGCTAGCCCAAGGCTGAAAGCACACAGACTAACCAAAATAAGAAACCACTTGTACCATCCGTGATCCACGAGTGCCTGACGTAGAGGGTTGGAAAAACATGAGGTTATTCACATCATCGCCGAAGTGGAAAAGACCCTACCAAGATAACCAGCCGAAGGCCTCCGTTTTCCAACCAGCGAAGCACAGGCACCCTGTCATGCAGGTCTCCTGTGATGATTTGACAAAAAAAGGATACTCGTAAACGAACCAGGGGCGCCGGTCATTGGTGGTTTTGTTGGTGGGCGTCACGCCGCTCAGCCTTGCCCCGCCGGACCAGAGTAAGACCTTCAGATCGCCTCCTCTACTCACTCTACCAGATCATGAGTGAAGGGCCGACACTATGGACCCCCTGACGGCTCTCAGTACGGCATCGGCTGTGGTTCAGCTGGTAGATTTTGGCAGGAGGATCCTCGATGATACCCACGAGCTGTACACCCAAGGCCGCCTGGTGACGCTCCAGGAGTTGAAGACCACCACCCAGGATCTCGTGCACGTCAATCATCTGCTCGCCCACCGACCGCAACCAGGGGACAACGCGGCGAGCCCCATATCCGATGCAGAGCAGGTAAGTAGTCTCCCGGCACCAGTCCTTATTCCCAAGCGTGACGAAGACTCACCGTCGCCGGCCAGGCACTGGACCAGCTCGCTGCCGACTGCAGCGAAGCGGCAAAGGAGCTGATCGCCTGCCTGCAATCCCTGGACGCCGACGTCGGGATTGGACGCTGGCGGAGCTTCTGCCAGGCGGTTCGCAGCCGGTGGACCCTGCGCCAGATCCAGGACATGGAAGCGCGGATCCGAGTATTTCGGGAGCAACTCACGATTCGCGTCCTGGCAGTGCTAAACACCAGAACCGCCCTCCAGGTGACGCGGCAGGAGGAGCGGTTCGACCGCCTGGACCAGTCGCACGCGGACGTGGTCGACGTCGTAGCGATCAACCGGCAGCGGCTGGAGTCAACCCTGCGCACTGACGTGTCCGGTCTCGCCCAGGATATCGCCCAGGGGGAGGCGCAGGCCCAAACCCGCCATGACGAGGTTATCGCGGCCATCCTCCACCTCCAAGATGGGAGTGCGAAGGTCCTCACGGGCGGCCTGGTCGAGCGACCCTCCCACCTGCCCGCGCACGAGACAATCATGACGCTCCAGAAACCGGTGCTGAACCACGTCGATTTCCGGGTGCAGGATTTTGGGGTAGTGCAGTCCAAGGTGCTCGACTGTCTCCATTTCCGGCAGATCGATCACCGCTACGATACCGTGCTCGACGCGCATCGGGATACCTACCAGTGGATCTACCAGAGTCCCGAGATTGACGGCAAGCCGTGGAGTAACTTCGTCCAATGGCTTGAGCAGGGCCACGGCTGCTACTGGGTGAATGGAAAGGCAGGATCCGGCAAGTCGACCCTCATGAAGTTCATCCACAGCCATCCGCGGACGGCACGATCGCTCGCGGTGTGGGCCGGCAACCACGAGCTGGTGCGGTCGACCTTCTTCCTCAGCAATTTGGGTCACTGGCTGCAAAAATCTCCAGCGGGCCTCATCCGCACCCTGCTTCACGACGCCCTCAACCGTCATCGTCATCTGATCCCGCTGGTGGTGCCGGACCTGTGCCGGGCGGCCGCGAAACTGGAGCCCACCGAGAGACTATCCGAGCCGACGTTCGCCGAGCTGTCCAAGGCATTCCAGAACCTCATCCGCAGCGACAGTGCGAACCTTCGGATCTGCTTTCTCATCGACGGGGTGGACGAATGCGAGGGGGACTACTCAGAGATTCTGAACCTGGTCGCGTCGGCGTCCCAATCTCGCCAGATCAAGATCATTGTGTCCAGTCGTCCCATCCCGCCGTGCGTGGCGGCGTTCTCGGGATCCGCAAGCCTGCGACTGCAGGATCTCACCTATGATGACATTGGGTTGTACGTCGAGGATAAGCTCCTGCAAGAACTGCAGCGGCGGATCGGAGAGCACGCGCCAGCGTTGGTGCTGGAGATCGTCGAGAAATCCTCGGGCGTGTTCTTGTGGATTGTCCTCGTGGTCAGATCCCTGATACTTGGGGTGCAGAGTATGGACCGCATTGACGACCTGCAGCGCCGGGTCGACGAACTGCCGTCCGATCTCACGGAACTCTACTCGCACATGCTGCAGAGGATAGATCCCCTCTATAAAACGCAGGCGTGGGAACTCTTCCAGCTGGTCCTCAACAGCGTCAGGGCAGATGGCGGTCGGGAACCCACCACCTTGCAACTATACTTCGCGGACCAAGGTCCGCTCGTGGCAACAACCGCGCCGATCCGCACGATCCCAACTGCGGACGAGTCCCGACTGGTTGAGGAAATGGATGGCCGCATTCGAAGCCGGTGCTGCGGATTGCTGGAGATCCGAGACCAGAAGTACTCTAGAGGAATCATGTCCACCATCCATAGGCCGACGGTCGCCTTTCTGCACCGGACGGTCTTTGAGTTCCTCACGGAGCAGATCGACTCGAAGGATTGGCTAGGACGGGCCCAGGGGAACCCCGACTTCGATGCCCATCTGTCCCTGGCCTCCTCGTGTCTCCTACTCGCCAAGTCGTTGCCCCGGGAGTGGACAGAGAATCCTGATTCCCTGCAATGGCAGAGCATGCAGGCTTGTCTACACCACTGCTCCATGATCGAGCAGCAACATGCCATCACCACGGACCTCCTAGACGAGTTAAATCGTACCATACCACATCAGCTCGCACATCTTCTCGCCAGACCATGGAGTCCGGAAGGCAAGCATGGCATAAAACGGTTCTGGGCTGCTGCACCGCCTTTCGGCGAAAGGTTGCCCTCCGACTCCTTTCTATCACTCACCGTGACATGGGGTCTATCATTCTACCTGCAAGATGAGCTGGATCGTAACGAAAACGACACCCGACGGCGGGAGGACCTCCTCCGGCTCGCCGTCCGGAGCTTTGTTCTGATGTGGACCGATCTTTCATCCCCCTCCCACCCCTTCTCCTCGTCCGGACCAGCGCGAATGATGGGATACGCAGGGATCATCTCAATCCTCCTGGAGAGTGGAGTAAGCCCCAACGGTGGGACGAGCGATCCCAATGGCAGTAGCCCGTGGGAATGTCTTCTACAGCACTTCAACGATCTCCTACTACACCACCGCCATACTTTCCTCCAGAATGCCAGCCAAGAGGGGGGGTACACGCGAACGTTCCTAGACTTGCTAGTGGTCATGGTCGTGTCGGCGGCGGCGCCCAACGCTAGTGTCATTTGGAAAACAAAAAGCTATCGCGGTGTCGAACATGTGGTGGAATTCCGACGGTCCGCGTTACGTATTATTGAGCTGCTGCCGTCCGACGAGGCCGCTGATTTTCCCCCCAGTAGGCTGCGGAGCGCAGTGTCGATCAATCACCAGCCGATTGCGCAGTATCGAACACGACTGATCCGCATGCTGCGAGATCGAGGGGCTCGACTGGAGGAGTGGACGAGTGCCGGCTCTTCGGGAGGAGCAGAAAACCGGCCAGCCAGCAAGGAGGATGCCCCGCTCATTGGCTCGCAGACAACGAAGAAAAGGCCTTGGAAACGGATGGTGAGAGCCTTTCGAAACTTGAAGGTCGAGTAGGGTGGTACGCGGCATCATCACCACCACGGGAGTTGACATGAACGCATTAACCGGTTCTCGGACGGGATAAAACAAAGATATGAGCCGTCGTCCGAATGGGACTGAAGTGCACACGGGCCATGGGGACTGATTCATCCGTTGCAACTCCTATACACGAGTCGACGAGTGTGCGACTGGCGTTGGTCACCGACTTCACATGGACATGGGGGATCGTGGTCGTGGGTTGAATGCCTATTTTAGTTCATCTCTCGAGCTGTAGATTCTGGGGAGGCGGTTCTCGGGATGGACTTGTGGGTAGAGATGTAGCAGTAGTTCTTATTAGCCTGTCTACCTGGTTCTAAGCTTGCAGACCGACATGCAGATTCAACAGATAATAGCTCAGACGAATGAAGGGGATCAGGGTGCCAGGAAACCTGAGAGCCCTGTTTTCTGTAGATCATACTGGGACTAGAAGCCATCTGCAGAAGTTTTGAGACCTTTCCCATGGAGTTATTCCAGACCGTCTGTATGTATTCCGACGTGATGCACAAACTACCGACCAAACCCACTACTGTTTGTCACCCAGCGCATGTACCGCCAGCTTCTTATAGGCCGTCAGCCCCTCTTGCAACTCCTGCACCGTGATCTGTTCCTTCTCGCCGTGTGCGACCAGAATTGACCCAGGCCCGTAGAGATACTTCCTGTGGTCTCCCTTGAACCGCGGAACGTCCGTGCCGTATGATACCGGTGCGCTGTCAAACCCTGCCGTATCGTCAGCTGTGCACTGTGAACCCCGAGAAAATAGGACCCACCTTCTACTTCATGATCCAGCAATGTCTCGGGATATTCGAACTTGAACTCCAGGCGCACATGGGGATGGCGAGCCGCGACGTCCGCGACGAGCTGCTTAATCGCGGCCATATCCGTCGCAACGCGCACGGCACAGAGCGCCTTGCTGGCGGCGGGGACGATATTGTAGCTGACTCCACCCTCGAGCTTGCCGATGTTGAAGGTGGATGGACCCAGAAGCGGAGACTCCGGGAATGTGGTGGCAACGAAGTCATTGAGTGCCGCGACTAGGGCCACGTTGGCGTTGATGCCATGGTGGGGGTAACCGGAGTGACTGGAACGTTAGTAAATAACGGCACGACTCACTCTCTTCCGACTACGCAGCTTGGGCGAACACTCACCAGGCCTTCCCCTCCCCGATCAGTTCAAACACTAGGTGTCCTTTATGTCCCACCACCAATTTTCCCTCAGTCGGCTCGCCAAAGATCACACTCTCAAACCGCAGATCGTGCCGCTCGTCGTTGGCCGCAATCATACCCGGACCACCCTTCTCCTCGCCGACGACAAACAGCAAACCGATGTCGCCCTCCTGCACCCGTCCTTCGGCGCGCAGCTCCTCTACCGCGCAGATCTGGGCCGCCATGGGCCCCTTGTCGTCGCAGGCACCGCGACCGTAGACGGTGTCGCCGTCCATGCGTAGGGGGATATGCGGCGGCACAGTATCCATGTGCGAGGTCAGACAGACCCGGACGCGTCTCGTCGCACCGAGATAGGCGTAGACATTCTCGCGGGGCGAGTCCGGGGCGATGGGGATGCGCTCGACGGTGTAGCCGAGGCGCGTGAGATGATCGTCCAGGAAGCGGGCGACCGCTTCCTCGTGCTCGCTGTTGCTGGGGACCTCGATGAGGGACTGCAGGAGGGGGAGCACGTCCGAGTTCGCCATCTTGCTCTCAGTTCGGGATAAACAGTTCTAGGTTGTTTCCAGGCGACTGTAAACCGGATGGTAGGGTTTAAAAGAACTTGATCAGGAACCCCTCGTGCGGGGTGACATCATTCGCAACTGATAAGATAGCCCCTTTTTGTCTATCACAATGGTTGAGGATCGTCCCTGATGGCAGCTCCAGGGCCAATGACGATCTTACTGATCATAATTCTCTTAGCTAAAGAACCGGGGATCTTTCGCCTTGAGCAATCAGCTGTCATTCTTCCACGCATAGGATGGGACCATGCTTCACCAGAGGTTACATTCGCGGTGACCCACCCCACATCGTCAGTATCACGCCAAATCAATCCGCTTATCATAACACAGAAACAAAACCCCACATCTCATTCTTCGCGGTAACAATTCGAAGAGGAAGGAGCCGTCCCAATGGGAGGGGCTTATCTCCCCCGCCCAATCCTCTTAGTTTAGGGAACCGAGTGCTGTCCGCTCTCCGATCGTCTCCGAACCATCGCCACCAGTCGCGCAGTCCATGCACGACCTCGGACCAACACCGATCTCGGACGCGGGGTAGGCCGCTGGCCACGGGAATCGGCTGCTCGGTGGGCTGTCGATTACGTTCCTCGATCCCGAACGGATGTGGAAGGCCATCCACGGTGCTGACACATCGTCGCAAAAGCTTTAAGACCAAATTGGTAGCCCTGTAATGTCACTGGTTTGGTCTTGAGGAACGAGGATGCAAACTTTTCGAGCATGAAAATCTAGATGGACGGTCCGAGTAGAGCAGAGAGGGAAGAAATAGCACAGCGCCTCGCTTCCAACAGGTTGAAACGGCAAGGTTGTGTCCCCCAGTAGGGAGACTCCCTGGGGAGGTCAATGGCTGGCGTGCGTTTCCCAGCCTTAGGGAGGGAGACTGGCTCTGTGTTAGGCGTGGCCTAACAGAGTATAGTATATATAGCGTGTCTGGGGATACTGAGCAAGAGCGCTCAGTATAGTATGACTTTTTGGTCGAGTGGTATGATGCAGCACCCCAGGGTTGGTCATAACACTCTGATCCGCTGCGAGTACCCCTCAACCTCGAAGCCGCTCGCATGAGGCCCATAAGACCTCGGGTCTCGAACACAAACCGGGAAAATTCCCATTCTACCCATTGGGGACAATGTCTGAGTCGACCAGTGGACAATCGCATTCATAACTGGTCCAAACGCCGTGATCCCCCTCTTGTCTTGATATCAAGAAGTGGATCTCACATCGGCAGGAGAAGCGAGACGGCTGGATGTCTGCATGTGGTGCGAAGAAACGTGTTTCTGGTGGGGCCGGTTTTGATGAGAAGGTGACGCGACGAAATCCGGGAGACCATTTCCTCCATTCTGCTAGATTGGCGGCTCTGTGGACGTGAATGTGCAACACCAGCAGGGTGTGCGAGACAAACAGACGAATGGAATCGGGGAATCTCCCCGTCCTCGAGGAGAGAAGGATCGAGTCTGTTACTTGGATAGGAAATTGCTGATCGTATTGTATAGGAATCTACGCAAGGGCAGACTACGGCGTAGGGGCATGTAGTGCAACGTCATGATCGCTGCATGTGGAAGAAGTATCGACAGCTGTTCTTCTCAGCGAGGCTGAAGTCTGCAAGTGGTCAGAATCGGTTATTATCCATCCAGCTCCAGAAGCGACGACCCCCTTTCTGAGGTTGGAGTCAGTATCTGCTTCCGGGGGTGCACTGTTGTGTTCGCGCCTCCACGGTAATCTTCCTGTAACTGAAACAGGGATTAGACAGACATGGATCAAGGTCCTACCGGATAACATGCAATTGGGAAACCGCCCGTCATTAGGGTAGCGATATTGCTAGGCGACGAGGGCTGAGCATGGCTACAGCACTTTCCTAATTGTATCAGGGTATATATGGAAGGACGAATAAGGAAAATGGCAAGTGGAGATCACCGCGAGGGGACTCGTCCCTCGAAACCGATTGATGTCTGTACAAGATGACAACCACTGCACCAGAATACGGAAGCGGTAATTTGCCGGACTTGATAGGACTGGTATCCCAGCATAATGTGACATCACCATCATTCTAGCAACGTTACTGAAGACCAGTGGTCAGATTGTTGAATTCGAAGCTAACACTGCAAGGAGATTAGTCCGAGTAACCTAGCTATACCAGGGGGCGTGGTTTACATGATGTGGTCTTAGGTAGGACTCTCGGTACAGCTACCAATTTCCAGAGAGAAGACAATGATTGGCCTACTTTATATCCAAAGCCCAAAGACTGCGGGGTAATAGTTAACATGCATCTGCTGTTGGTCAATATTAAGGACCATAAGGCTGGGCGTCCCCACAGAAATGTCAGGCTGACGAGAATCCAGGGCCCCACTAAGAAGATCGCGGGTCCTATAGCCTCAGCGCCAGTTGTCAACCCGGCGGTGCTTGCCGGGTTCAAAATATCACCTGCATATGGTGGGTGTCTCAGGTCGATCCCTCATTTGCTCTTCTTCTGGACTGAGGCTCCTTCAACACCAATATTAATCGTCAATATCTTAACATCCTAGCAAGGCCCATTGCCCTCAACCGGTCTAGTTTCCATCCCAACGCGCGAGATATGTTTCTCAGGGCTGTGCCTCGACTGACAACCAATCGGTCCTCGGTCGTAGGATCGTATTGCATATCCAGAGGTACCAAGCGGACTGGAGAAGCGCACACGTAGAGAGTTCAATGCTGATTGGAAAAGCACACGGCGCTGCCTTGACTCTCGACCCTCACAAGGCAGATTTCAGGCTGAAACGGCTGTACCACACTGAAATGCAACAAACGATGCTGAGGTATCGGTGGCCGCTTAGGACGCATAGTGGCTATGCTTCGATGAGGTTCAGCTTTTGGTACGCCGAGAAGAGATTGCGCGGCAGCATTTTTTCGGTAGGAATTGCGAAGAGACATAAAGGGGACCAGGGATAGGTTCTTTTGTCGTGGATGAAGTCTATATAAACTCCTCAGGATCCCCCATAACTCGTTCTCCCTCATCAATTCATCAGCAACTCTTCAACCGATTTCCAACCAACTGTCAAATTTCGAGCTCTCTCCTTTTGATTGAACACCTTTCTAAGCCACTCCCAACCAAATCCTCGCAACCATGAAGTTCTACCTCGCTGCTATTACTCTCCTGACTACTGCTGTGACGGTCATGGCTTCCCCAGTTGAGAGCGCCCAAACTCCAGGCGTATGGCATACCTTGTTCAATGCTTAAGATATGGCCCAGTACTGATAATGTGCAGAAATGCGAGGGGAGTGGTTGCGTCCTCAACAATGGTCAAATTGTGTAAGTTTTCATATAAAGACCTATCTTCGGATCCAAAAGCTGACATTGATATCTAGAATGTGTGATTATGGATCTGTAAGTATTCCTGTATAACTTGGCTGCGTGGGTTCATGCAATTGACACTGATTTGAATAGTGCAAGGGTCATGATGGCGAAGCCTGCAATTCCGGAAGCGGAAACTACTGCCCTGGAGCTTAAAGTTGTGAGTCTGTGTACCATATCATAATATGCATACTCAATGACTAACTGCTCTGTTGTAAGAGGCTTTTCCGCAATCCAGTATATGCAAGGTTGAGCTATTGGTCTCGTCTTGATTCTTTCGCAGATCCACTTCGTGTGGTACAAGGAGGAGGATCTGTTGGTCACTCTTTTCAGTATGTAGTTATTGAATTCATGCATTTCTGACCGGTCATTATTCTGTTCTCTGTAGATGTTGGATAGTAGATACGTGGGCTATGACGCAATATGGGTGGAGTAGAGTGGATGCGATCTTGACTTCTAGGGGACAATCCTGGCTCCACTGTTTAGACAAGATACGTGGCAGAGAAGGAGCACAGACCAGGTCAAGATTAGGTTGATCCTTCCTGTCTAGATCTCATATTTTGATTCCTAAGGGTTGTATGGTTTATGTTAAGAAGTGTAGTACATCATGCAAAGTAATACGTCACAACTATGTTGATGGTTACATAACTTGGACAGCTTGAAGATAGATTAGGTATATATAAATAATCGAGAAGCCATTGGCCGTAGATGTAAAATACTGTCCAACATCCTTATTACTCAAGACATCACTTCCAAGTTTCAGCAAGATTGATACCCGAGATTCTCAGACGATAAACTAGCCAAGCTGGAATAATTAAGAACTCTCCTCTACCAAAACAAGGTCCTCGCGATAGAGATACCAGCCTGTGACGGAAGTGCCGGTTAGTATGATTAGGTTAGGGATGTTTGAGCGTTGGTGAACAAGTGAAAAGAGTAGAGACAGAACACAGGATTATGCAGAGAGTAGATGATTGCATGGCGGGGTCTGGACAAATGGTCCGGCATCTGATGACACTGTTCCGTCAATGAGCGTGGTGAGATCACCACTTGTCCTGGTGCAAAGAACCGGCTTTTCTTTTCCACGCCACTTCTGCCCAGATTACTTGTTTAATTACCTGATGGCATGGTTATAGACTACCCGATTAGTCGTATTTCTTCCTGCTGAGGAGAGGAAGCAAATCCTCACAAGCTTCACAAGCTGAGATTCTTGGCATGACGGGTTTCGACGTCACAGGGGATTATCTGTAGCAACGACTATTAAATCCGGCGACTAATATGTGATCCCCCACTGGTTCTGTAGTAACCTTGGGGCTGTGACTGTCATATCCAGGCAACTCATGTTCCGCACTCCGCATCCCAAGGCAGGTCTGCTCAGGCCCTGCGGCAGATATTCCAGGGTATCACTAGTTCCCCGGCTCTCAGTCAGATCGATCCTTCCTTTCTCAACCGTCCAACCCAAGACGAGACTCCTCGTTGTACAGTCACGTTATCGGCAGAAGAACAGGGTAGCAAGCGCGTTTGCGGTCACTAATCGACTCCATATCCGATCGAAAGCCACGATGGCCCTCGACCAGCATTTTCTGAACACTTCCGGCGAGACCGATCCGGTGTGGGTGCATCAAGTTCCCTACTCCGCACACCCGCAGTGCCCACCCCTAGACAGAGATATCGAAGCCGATGTCTGCATTGTTGGAGGCGGAATCGCCGGCATCTCCATTGCCTATGAACTGGTCAATCGTGGAACCAACGTCACCTTGCTCGAAGCAAGGCACATCTTGTCGGGAGAGTCTGGACGCACTAGCGGCCATCTGGCGAATGCTTTGGACGACGGCTATGTCGAAATCGCCAAGAAGCACGGCAAGGACAATGCCCGGATTGCGGCGGAAAGCCATACGTGGGCGCTGAACCGTGTCGGCGAGATCTCCAAGCAGCTCAACATCGATTGCGAATACCGCTACCTTCCCGGATACGAGATCTCACAGTACACCCGAGACCAGCCGGAGCATCGAACCGAGATCGAATCTTTGAAGCAGGAATTTGAGATGGCAAAGAGTCTAGGCTTGCCAGTTGCGTTTCGGGACGACCTGAAAGTCCGCGGGTGGGATAGCAGCCTCGACCAGCAAGGCGGTACGATCTTCGACAGGCAAGCGACTTTTCACCCAACCAAGTACCTCATCGGAGTGTTGGATTGGTTGAAGAAACAGCCGAATTTCAACTGTTTCGCTGAAACCCGAGTCATGTCCATGAGCGAAAAAGGCCACGAGATCTTAGGCTTTGGCAATGAGAGGGTGACCATCTCCACAGAGGCCGGTCATCAAGTCACTGCCAAGCAGGCTGTCCAGGCGACGTGCGTTCCGCTGCAAAAACTGGCCGAATGGAATACGATCGCACCTACTGCATCGCGATCCGTGTACCCAAGGGATACGTCGAGGACTGCCTACTCTACGACCAGGCCGAGCAGTATAAATACGTCCGCCTAACCGAGTGCGACAAGGAGGACGATTATCTCGTTGTCGGTGGGTGCGACCACAAGGTTGGCCAGGAAGACACCGGCGGCCGGTTCGAGGAGCTGGAGGAGTGGGTCCGAAAACGGTTCACCAAAGCCGGGAGCGTGGACTACAAATGGAGTGGCCAGATCTTCGAGCCGGTGGATTACATAGCGTACATCGGAAAGAATCAAGCCTCCAAGCGCACCTACATCGTCACAGGGGACAGTGGCAACGGCCTGACCCATGGTGTTCTGGCGGGCAAACTGATTGCGGACGAGCTCACAGGGAAGCAAAACGCATGGAGCCAGCTGTATGATCCAGGTCGGAAGGTCAGCGTGGGAAAGTCCCTTCCGTCGATGCTTGGTCATGACCTTGAGATCAATGCGCAGTATAAGCGGTATCTGCAGACCGATATCACTGACATCGAAGACCTCGCTCCTGGTACAGGCGGCGTTCTGAACAAGCATCTTCAGATGCCCATCGCCGTCTACAAGGACGAGGCTGGACAGGTGCACCAGCGCAGTGCTCTGTGTCCGCACATGAAGGGTGTGATCTGTTGGAACAATACTGAAAAGAGCTGGGATTGTCCGGTTCATGGGAGTAGGTTCAGTAAGGAGGGAATTTGTGTTCTAGGGCCGTCCAAAGGCAATCTACAGCCCGTTTGAGAGGGGGCATTCGGTACAGTGGTACCGAATCTTCAAGGATGATGGACAATAACTCTTGGTGGGATTTGATTGAAAAATACAATCAACGGGAGTGTCAGTTGACTTGCGGGTCTTCCTGCGAGGTTGAATCCTTTATATGATTTGCAACCCGCCATGCCTTCATGAATATCATTTTAAAATTGGCATTTGTATTGACTCTTTCCACCAGTATTCTCCCGCAGGTTATAAGACGGAAACTGTGGCTACTGCGGGAACTGTTTCTTACCAAAAGTAATATTGTTGAACCTATTGCCGCTCTAACCTCATCTTGTCTCATTATTTTGCCGCGATGGTGCTAATACCGAACATGAACTTGTACGCAGTTCAGCCATGAGGCTCTCCCCTTCGCCACTACGACACCTTGGCCAGTATATCCGGGTGATTGATTCTTCTTCACGACGATAACCTTGGGAGACAGGTATTCAGATCAGAGAGGAGGACGTGCTACAGCCTCGCCAAGGCCCGTCAAGGCCTCGTCGTCGTTCGTGTCGTTAGGCTACCCTCTTGGCGTACGACTCCTGAAGCACTTTGATGCCTTTGCAAAGTCCAGTACTTCTCATCATACCGGTTTTCCAGGCGGGGTATACTTGCCTCAATTTACCTCTCTTACTACCTAGAAGAACCGACAAACGGTTGAGCCCATGCCCAGCGTTTCTCTGTAGACCTTGCCAGGGTAATTTGAATAGTGGGCAGTCAAGACACACTACTTTATTTCCTGTATCCTGATAACTACAGTCAACACCTGGAGCCGTTCAACTACCATGAGCTTATTCCGGCTTGGCCGGGCGTTGTTCCCTACCACGTTCCATGTGTTGGCAGATTCAGTCAAGTCTGTCACGATCCTGGACCCCCCGCCAAATGGGAAACCATCTACCCAGGGTCCCAGGGTAGAATACTAAAGAATTGCAGTGAATGATTCCTAGTGAGGTATGACATATGAAACATCTTCTATATTTTGTCTAATACAAAAAAATTCATTTCCAAACCTGTCCCCATATTCAACCATACCACGTCTCCGGCCTGGCGGGCGTTGTCGGCTGGCTTTGCTTGGCTCAATCGCTTGCACCTGGTGTCTCACTGAGGCGTGTCAAGATCTTCTGCGCGCGGATATTTCCGTCTTTAAGACCCTTTAGGCCGTCAGACAATCCCTCTAGACCGTTTTTGCCGATCGTGTAAGGATGGCCTGTGAGCCAACCCTCGCGCAGACCCCGGGCAAACGCTGCGCCCCATGCCACGCCAATGAGCCTGTCGTTCTCATTCTCGGTGTGAACCTGACCGACCATAGAGAAGACAATATCAACACTCGGGTCAGAGCCCTCGACCTCGGTCTTGAGCATAATATTAGTCATCTTTGGTCTACGACCAGCAGCATCCGGCGGGCCAGCAATGACCTTCGTGACAAGCCTGATCGTGTCATCTTCGGAAACGCTATCAAAGGCCTTCCAGCAGCGGCCGTCGGGAGCACCCCCCTTCTTGACAGCCTGCTGGATCGCGTTGATCAGCTCCTCCCCAGTAGGATAAGCAGTGTAATCGACGAGGACGTCTCCCTTGCTCTCATCGAGGAAGGGCCTGATGAATTCGCTCCGCTTGCTGCCAACCGTGATGATAGGGTGGATATTGGCGGCCGCTGCAAGCTTGACAGCGAACGCTCCCGTGGCAGTACTGGCTCCATAGATGAGGAGAGGACGCTTAGTGCCATCCTTGCCCGCGGCCTTCGAGAGTGGCGACCAAGGTTCTGGTAGCTCGAGCTCCTGAAAAAGCGCGCAGACGGATGTGTAGGCCGCTAGAGGAATCGTGGCAGCCTCCTCAAATGTCGTTGAGTCGGGAATGTGGAAAGTAGTGTAGTAGGGTGCAAGGGCGTACTCGGCGAAGGCTCCGTGCGAGGCCATCATCTCGTGGAAAGCAGCCACGCGGTCCCCTTTATTAAACCCGACGACGTCCTCTCCCACTGCTTCTACAATACCGGCGATATCATCACCAGTGTTCATATCCGAACCGTAGAAGATGGGGACCTTCCAATCCTTCGGGTTGGTACCTTTCAATTAGTTGCGTTAGCTGCCGATCAAAACATTGGGACCTGACGCATACAGGTCACCCATGCAGAGACGCATGGTCTAGTGGCATAGATTGGCCACTGCAGGGCCTCTAGCATTTAGTACTTACCGGCGACAATAACCTTGATCAGGACATAGCCAGGCCCTGGCTTTGGGATGGGAGCATCGACAATGTCGACTGATGTGTCCTTCCTAACAACCGCTTCCTTCATGATGAGGGTCCTTCGTACGATTTCAAGTGGTGGGCTCGACTGTGAGACAAGATGCAAATGGGTTTGGGGATAGGGTGTGATGTATAAGACTGGCGTGGCTACTGTAATAGTTATATTTATAATCTACAGAGGCTGACAAATTGGTCCAGAGTGACCAACTACTCCGTAGCCTACTCGCTAATTTTACCCCCTACCAAACCAGCCACCCCTTTAACAATGTTCATATCTAAGCAACTTTGCGCTGCGGGGATGAAGCTTGCCAAAAACCACGCTATACCAACTAAAATAGATGAAACGATCCATGGTGGGAGTAAGCACTAAAGTATGGAAGATAATGGATTTCGGAGGAATCCAGAAAGAACTCTCAGAGCTATCTAGACCGTAATCAATCAGAGCTGATATATGATAACATGTGCTATAACTCTTACTTTTCAAGCTTACATAAATTTAGAAGCTCATTGTCCAATGATGACATAATTTATATTATTAAAGGAGATAGCAGTTCATGGGTCATACTGGGGTACACATATTCCACTAGACCAAAAGGCCACTATGTCCGATTGAGACGGATTGTAGTGGGTCCCTCAAACGGGCTTTTTAGCTAGGAGAGAACCGATGAAAACGATCAAAAGAATGAGGAAACCGATGACTCCAATGCTATTATAGAGTTGCATGTGACTAGGTAAGGTTTAGACCTGGACATAACCCGCAAATAGGTAGGAGATTCCAAGCTGTTGGTCTAACCTAGATCTGATTCTCAACCGCATGTTTTTAAGGATGTGGTAGTTTAGAGATGACCTAGAATAAGGTAAAACCTTCAAAGTGTTGGTAACATGACACTTATATAATAGTGGTGAAATGAATGCAGTGTTTTGTATGGTTTCAGTATAATGATCCACCCTGGGGTGTCACATCATACTGCTTTGCCAAAGGCACATTTACTCAGCAGTCTTGCTCAGTATCCCCAGACACGCTATATATACTTCTCTGCTAGGTGCCGCGCACTTAACATCCATCCTTTTTTGACCAGAATTTAGTTAATTACAAATTTCGTGATGGCAACTTTTAATGCGAGAATCAATCCAGCTGAACCCTGTTGATATATCACCTTTAATAACAGACCTATCCTGATTCTGCCGAACTCTGCATTTCAATATCTAAACAGCTATCTAGCTAGCAGGAATAGAAGTAGAGTTAGCAGCAGCATTCGGCTTTGAAAAAGGAGCAGCGAATCCATATGTTTTGAAGCCTTCTTCATAATTTTGACCTGGCTCACGCTCTTTTCATCCGAAATGCGTCAGCATCCAGTACTTCAATAGGAACGACAGAAAAAGCCGAAAGAATGAAGAGGCTTACCATGATCGGGTGGGAAATTAGCCCTCCGATGCGCATAATACTTCGCCCTCAAATCTTCCCCATCAGACCGCATATGATATGTGGCATACAAACTGGCCCTCTTCGCACTTGTAAGATTCCTGGCCGACCGGTGGGCCAGATGGCTTCCAAAAATTAACATGTCCCCTCTCTCAAGCGGGACGGACACCCAAGGCTGCGCACGCTCCCAGGCTTCCGAAATATGTCCGCCGTGTGAGAACTCGACGTCCATTTTGTGCGAGCCGGCGACGACCTCTAGACACCCGTTTTCTGGCGTGGCAGCATCAATGGCGATGTTGGCGGTGATGTGCTCGATGCGGCCAATGTGGTCGTAAGCTGGTGCGTCGAGGTGGGCCTGGAAACCATTTCCGAAGGGAAGTTTGTAGTTGATCTTATCTTTGAAAAGGAGCATCTCCTGCGTGGGACCAGACAGGGTCAGATACGACGCCTATCCACCTATGTACATTCGTGGACTTACTTGGTCGGATAACTGCTCCAGTATCCCGATCAGATTCTTCCCGCAAACCAAACCCTTCCATCCCTCATGATAATCAACAAAATTCTCAGTGCGCATCAATTGCCTCTCGCCGTTTTGGTTGATCTCATCGTACGGCATCCACTTGCCCTTCACGCGAGGCCATTGGTGGACTTCCCTTTCCCATGCATTGAGATTGTTGGGACTGACGAGATTGTGCTCGTGAGCGCGAAGCAGTAAATAACCATTTTCACGATAATGGTTGAGTTGCTCGGAGGTAAGAGTGATGGGAGACATTGTGGAGATAGGGCTTATTTTCTAGTGTATTGGAATGACACCAGATTCAAAAAGGATAAGGAAAACAGCCTTTGATCATCGAGACATCTGCGGGGTTGGTGGTTACTATTTATCATTATTTTCACCTTTTCATGTCCCATTATCTGCATGCGTGGTTCTATATTGCTGGTCCCATTCGGTTCCGCCCTTTGCACCGATATCTCGCGCTTCGCACCGGGGTGGATCACCTGATCATCACTGAAACACACGTGAAGGAATTGGTCGCACTTCGCACCGGGATGTCCAGATCAGATCTGGTATTGTGCGGTGAGTATGCACCTTTGAAGCTCGAGTGTCTTTGGTATAAATATATCCATGTAATGCTAGTAAACATCTATATGAGACAACCTACAAACCAGAACTCTACATCATTTCCAAACAACAATCCAGAAGTAGTAATACTCGAACTATTTCTCTTTGTTGTTCTACATTGTTACTAGCAAAAAAAAAAAAAAAAAAATGGCATCCCACCACCAATCAACAACAGCCGTCGAACAGCATGCCCGCGAAACTGTGAGGGAATTGTTTGAGTTTATTTTGGCTCAAGGTGATGCAGACTATATTGGCGAGCCCATTTCCCAACTCGAACACTCCCTTCAAGCAGCGCAACTCGCACAGGAGTCAGGCGCTGATGACGAGACGGTCCTTGGCGCACTCTTGCACGATGTGGGACGCTTCATACCAGCCGCGGATAAGATGCCAAAGATGATTGCACCGGACGGGACATATGTTGGCAGAGCGAGCCATGAGGTTGTGGGTGAAAGATATCTGAGACAGCTGGGCTTTGGTGAGAAAGTTTGCCAATTAGTGGCAGCGCATGTGACGGCGAAGAGGTATTTAACTGCGGTGGACAAGGAGTATTATGATGGCTTGAGTAATTCTAGCAAGAATACGCTGAGAATGCAGGTTAGTATTTTCTTTATTAGTTTTTGTATTTTTCTCTCTGTCCTGACAATCCAACAGGGTGGGATTTTTAATGAATCTCAAGTCAAAAAAGCACAAGAAGATCCTTGGTTGGGGGCAAAGCTCCAGGTACGACGATGGGACGACCAGGCGAAGGTTCCAGACGTCAAGACCGCACCTCTTTCAGCATACGAAGATCTGGCTGTACGGTGCCTTCTGAGTGCGTTAAAACATGTTTAGTCTCCCAATTATAAAATTTCTGGATTCTAATGCACTCCTGTAAGAGACGGGTTCGAATTTTTCAACGCCCACCGTCGAACTTCATTCCACCAAATACACATTGCCTCAAGTCCCAACCGTTGTTGTCTGTGTCGATGGATTTGATCCTGAGTATCTTGAACAAGGAATTGTGGATGGCATCCTTCCAACTCTCAAATCATTCCTGGAGAACGGCTTCCATACAACAGCCAAATGTGCGATGCCTTCCTTCACCAACCCAAACAACGTCTCGATAATTACAGGTGTGCCACCGTCTGTCCATGGTATCGCAGGGAATTACTTTCTCGACCCGATTACGAAAGAGGAGCACATGGTCCAGGACGACACTTTGCTCCGCGGCTCGACAATCCTGCAACTCATGGCTAGTCGCCAGATCAAAGTTGCAGCAGTAACAGCGAAGGGAAAGTTGCGTCGCATAATAGGCCATGGTTTATCGGATTCGATATGTTTTGCTGCTGAAAATGCCGGCTCTTCTTCGCTTGCGGAAAATGGAATCGAGAATGTAGAACGCTGGCTTGGTCGTCCTGCACCTCCACAGTACTCAGCGGACTTGTCCCTTTTTGTCCTGGACGCTGGAGTCAAATTGTTACGGGAAAAAAAAGCAGATTTGCTTTATTTGACCCTGTCTGATTTTGTCCAACACAAACACGCTCCGGGGGAGAAGGAGGCAAACGAATTCTTCTCATCGTTGGATCATCGTCTGAGAGAGCTCGTGGAGCTCGGTGCGGTTGTTGCAGTGACTGGAGACCACGGAATGAGCGACAAGTGTACCACTGATGGCGAACCGAACATCCTATTTTTGCAAGATGAACTGGAGGCAAAGTTTGGACCAGGGTGCGCCAAGGTGATTTGTCCTATAACAGACCCCTTTGTTCGTCATCATGGCGCTTTGGGTTCGTTTGTTCAAGTGTATCTGGAATCACCCGACTTGTTGCCAATGGCACTTGAGTATTGCCAGTCTTTGTCTCAAGTGCAACTGGCCCTTGACGGCAAAGAAGGCGCAGAGCTGCTTGACATACCACATGACGGCGACCTTGTCCTCGTTTCAGTTAAAAACGCAGTTATCGGTAGCCGAAAAAGGGACCATGACTTGACGAATCTGCAAGGCCACCGCCTTCGTTCCCATGGCGGGCTTACGGAACAGAATGTTCCATTGCTCATGTCACAACCGGTGAAGGATCAAGCTCAAGCTGCGGCAAGGGATTGGCACAATTATGATGTTTTTGATTTGATACTCAACTGGTGATACTTCCCTCCTATTATGCCGTGTGGGAAGGTCCTTAAAAGTCAAGAGACCACGGACCAGGACCTGACACATCATGATGCGAAGATAGAATGTCAAAGTCCCCCATGTTGTCAATCCATTGGAAGCTGTTCACCAAAGGATCTGTTTGCTGGGCGTACTCAACATTCATTGATGAGCTAAGATTCATTTGTGCCGCTTCCTGGGACTTTTTAAATAGTTTCTCTATTCCATCCACGATGCAGACCAGCAAATGTTGCTCGTGCATGGGTACCGTAACCTGTCTGAGGACTGTGACCGTCTGCTCAACGAGATCCAACATCTTGGTCGCGTCGATTCTCACGATATTAGAGTATTTGGTTGCGACTTTGAGGAGATATACAACTGCAAAAGCAATCATTGTATCAAAGTATAGCGGTAATCCATTCAAATGCGCCTGAAGTTCTCCGTCAGATACAATAACACGCAGTATAGATGTAGCTGAGAGAACTGCGGTGTTAGCGATATCTTCCAGATCCTGCGGAAAGTCACTCTGGGCACTGCCATTTGATGGTGCACCACGGAAGACATGCGAACACAAGTATAGCTTTGCAAAGTTGAAGTGCAAACCAACGCCCTGGCGGGGATAGTTGCCGACGTTTTGGTTTGGACGGAATCGTTCACTCCAATCTGCGTACCAGATATCCAGGGCAATGGAGTGCCGACGAAGCTGCGACCATTCATGTGCAGCCAACGGGGTGTCCACATCAACCCCAAAGCTGTCAAAAATATTCGTATTGACAGTCCAGATGAGCAGTTGGCTAACGAGCCTTGCATCATCTTCGGTTGCATTTTCTGTCTCTAAAAATCGACTAGCAGCAGCTATCGAGTGGCATTCTCGAGTCATCGGCGGACGGCCATATGTCACCGAAAAGTGGTGGTCACAGACATACACAAGGTAGTATACACGGGTCTGGTAATACCCTGCTTTATCTCCCTGTAATGCTTGATGAATTCCGCGATGTAGTTGAATCTCAGTGGCGATCCGCACAGCTAATGGTGATGTTAGAGACCCAAAAAAAAAGAGTTAGATTGGGAACACGTAAAGTGACTGACCCATGCCGACAAGCGTCCAAGAAATTTGGCTTAGCCAAAATGCACCTATGCACATTCCGCGTACATCGTCTAAGTTGTTTTCCTTGGAGAACATCTGGGACGTCACTGTGTTCTTGAACGCTGTATAGCAGCGCCCGAAAAGATGGCCGGCTTCGTTCAAATGAAGAGCGGCTACAGAGCAGATCGCAGCAGTGAGCAATGGAGAGCTCTCTCGTACACTGCTGAGGCTATGATGATGGCCCAGAATTCGATAGAGGAAGTGATCGAGACGCTGGTAGTATAAATTAAAAAGTAGTTCTGCTTGTTGTATAGAGATGACTCCACGAGAGATAAAATCCGGGGGTCTTGCAGACCGTAAGTCACCGGGAGACGTTTGCTTTTGACCTTCGGCTACGCAAGAGGCTGGTATTGATGCTGGACCGCAGTCTGGGTCCATGACTATGTCCCAGGCCCGCTGAGGTTGGAAATTCGGCCGGGGTGGCTCAATGTCATGGTTACTATCCGGGGAGAGCTGGGCAAAGTCTGGTGACTCGGACACATTTTGCAATTCAGGCATTGAAAGTCGTTCCCCGACCCTGGCCATGGCCATCTCGAAGCTTTGCATCCTTGTCATCATGGTAGACTTCCATCTGAAGGAACATCATTAGCCAACGGCGAGCATTGGCCTTGTGCAGGTAGATTCCAATCCACAATAGAAGTATACACACGTTGTATGATCCTGTAGCAACATCTGGAGGCTGCGGTTCACAGTACATGAAAGACCTCTCTTCCTGCATCGAACGCATGGCGCTTGCCCCTGGGGCATGTGACATTTGATCTGGTGTTTTGTGTCATTATAATCCAATATGCCTGCTACCTGACGCCTCTTAGAGCGGACATCGACAACCTATGTACATACTTTTTGCTTGCGACATGCAACGCAGGCGGTGATCTTTCGACTGATATCCGGCGGCTTTAGACCTCCAGATTCCCCCTGAACGCAATCGTCCCCCGGCAGATTCTTGAAAGCGTCATCGCGCAAACCGGTCGACGCCATTTCGGCTAATAGAGATCATCAATACTGCAATGAGATGGGTGTAGTCATTGAAGAAACAAGAAATGATGACCTCTAGAAAGCTGTTCCGTATTGAGAACCACAGAAGAGTTCCTGACTAGTTCATTTATTTTTAGAAACTCACTGACAGATTTTGAGCGAGTAGTGTATCACCCAATACCTTGTGTCATCAAAACGTTGAATCGTCGCCGAGATGACCGAACACGAAAGCAGCCGACAATAACCGCCTGAGAAGAACAGCACCATCGGAGAGAGCGACGATCAAGGACTTCCCTCCGAGTATGCGGCAGGAAGGAGCTGGCGAAAATTAAATACTGAAGCTATTTTGGAAATGTGAAAATGCTTGAAGTCGCTGGATAGGAGCACGTGTGGTCACGTGTGGTGGGCATGGAGGCACGTGGTTCTATCTAGCATCTTGGCTGGATAATATTGGCAGTCAAGATCCTAAATTTCAAGCTTGGCATTTAAATTTACAGCAGCACTTCCCTCCGAGTATGGGGCAGGAAAGGGTTGGCGAAATTTGAATGCTGAAATAATCCTGAAAATGCGAGAACGCTTGAAGTCACTAGATGGGAGCACGTGTGGTCACATATGGCGGCCATGAACACTCATGGTTCTGTCTAGCACCTTGGCTGGACAATGTTAGCAGTCGAGACAACAACCCTCAAGCTTGGTATTATCATATACAGCAGCACTTCACGCCGATGATATGATGCTGGTTTTGCCAATGCCCAGAACGTCAATGTTCCGTGGGGATGATATGGACTATAAATGCTATGGACACAAGGTCCCAAACAACTACAAAGATGCCATTTCTGATTAGCAACCCACGGCACACTTTCTATATATTTCTGTGCAATTGAGCGACCCAAGAGGTTTGACTTAATTGCCTTCTGCTGGGCTTATATATCGCCGAAATGGTATCATTGCTGGAGAAAGTGAAGTTTCTCTGTATCACAGGGGTTGGCCTTTTTTCCGATGGCTATCTCAATTTGACTATTGGTTTAGGTTTGTACATTTTCAAAAGATCTACTACTCTGCTGATAGCTAACCAAATAATCTTCAGTGGTGCCGATGTTGGGCTTCCTGTATTGGCAGGACCAGGGTAGTGAAGTCCCAACGGTGCAAAGTGACATCATGAAGGGTACCTTGAGTGTTGGTATGGCCGTCGGCCAAATTATGTTTGGTGTACTGGGAGATGCCCTGGGTCGTCACAAGGTCTACGGCAAAGAGTTGCTAATCACCTTGTTCGGCACTCTTATGGTCGTCTTGCTTCCCTGGAACAACTTTGACAAGCAGTCAATTGTTTCATGGATTGCATGCTTTCGTGTTGTAACCGGGATAGGTATTGGAGCAGGTAAGATCTGGATATTGCCCATAAAATCATCGAGCCTGAAAGTTTACGGTTACTTAGACTATCCCATGTCATCATCTCTCACCGCTGAAAGCACGCCGCTTGGATCCAGAGCGGTTCTGTCCCTGACTGTTTTCTCTTTCATGGGTCTCGGCAACATAGCTGCCAGTATCACGTTCCTCGTACTGGTCGAAGCGTTCCAGTCCGGAATTGAGTCCGACATCCAGTACGTCGAATGGGTCTGGAGGCTCTTATTTGGCCTGGGTATGATTCCCGCTACCATCACGCTATACGCCCGATGGACTATGGCAGAGACAGCTCCTTATGAAAAGTGTATGTCCAGTTCATATCAGAACGCACCCGTGCGTGAATCTAAACTTTCTAGACGTATCGAAAGATATGAACACCGAACAGGCAGACAAGCGAGGCCTAAAGGAGCAATTTCGGGACTTTTTTGTCTACTTCAGCGAATGGAAACATGCCAAGGTTCTATTCGCGACCTCAGCGTCTTGGTTTCTCTTGTAAGTGTAAACCTGAGGTTCCTCTGGGGCCTCATCGAAACTGACGGATGACTTTGTCCAGTGATATTGCTTACTACGGCGTCAACCTCAACCAAAGCGTCATCCTCAAAGAGATCGGTTATGCGGATGGGCCCACCCCGTGGGTCACCCTTCGCAATACTGCCATCGGAAACATCATTGTCCAAGTTGCTGTACGTTGCCGCAAATCCCCGTCCCAGTTCCCATCATCCCTGAAATCCGGTGTTCAAATATTAATCAAATATAGGGCTACCTTCCTGGATACTTCTGCGGAATACCCCTACCCGACCTTTTTGGACGCACTCACTAACAATTCTACTCGTGCATGATAGTCGCCATTCTATACGCCATCTGGGCCGGCATAACCAATCACACAAGCGTGGGGGGGCTGATGACCGTCTTCACGCTCTCCCAGCTCTTCCTCAACATGGGCCCTGACTGCACAACCTGGCTCATTCCTGTTGAAGTCTTCCCCACCAGTGTTCGCGGCACGGCGCACGGCATCTCCGCAGCGGCGGGCAAGTTAGGCGCCATCCTGACTGCGTTCGCATTTGGCACTGTGACTGACCGAATTGGTTTGCCGGGAGTGTTGGGCCTCTTTTCAGGTGTCATGGTCCTCAATGCTCTGGTCACCTTCTTGATTCCGGAGACGAGGGGCATGACTATTGCTGATATTGAGAACGAGGTTCATTTCACTGAGCATCGGCCAATGGATATATTCAAGTGGCCAGGACTTTGGAAAAAGGAGAGAGAGGAAGGAGATACTGATGACAATGTTTCACAAAAGTCCATCAACATTGTTCCTGGTAAGAACGTGTCTGTTTGAGGGAAGATCGGGCTGTCAGAAAAATACGTACATTAAATGACCCTTGTATATAGACTGGATTTATTTTTTTAAAAGTAGATTAAATTTTCAAATACTATCTTAATTGATCTTTAACTTTATTACATTATAATTCAAATATTGCTTTATACTATATTAAGATCTTAGAATAATTTCATTATTCCCTGTTCTTTAATAGATTTTAAAAGTAAGAGATTAGGAGAATTTCTTTTTATTAAGATTAAAGTGTCATTCGGAGCGGATTGGAGCGGATTCTCCCCAGGTAGCATCTAATTTGTTGCAGATTCAGATTCTAATCCTGGCATCCAAACCTACTTGCGGATTCAGTGCGGATTTTATAGTGAAAATCACAGAATCTAAAATATTAAAGATCTTTACCTAGATAAGCCTAATTAGGGCTAAAATATGATCTAAAGTAAACTAGTCTACCCAAGAAATCTGCTTAGTAAGTTAATTTATAAGCAAAAATCATGAAAATACCAACTTTAGAATACCCGCGCGAATATATATATATCTATATAGTATTTGAACTAACATGCATGTTTTATATAAATTCATGCAATTCATATATATTCATATATATAATTAAATATATATGAAATTCATGTATTTCTTATATATAATTCATTAAAATACCACCTAAATACCCTATATAAAGGGGTGAAATCAAGCTAACCCTATATTTCGGATTCTGCGGTTTTCACTGAAAATCTGAATCCGCTGCGGATTCTGACCCCCCCTATCCGAATCCAACTCGTTACGGATTCGGTGCGGATTGGATCGGTTTTTGCGGATTGGAGATGACACTCTAGCCCGGATGGCCGTAGGTCTTCTGTTAGACCGCGCTCTGCAGTCCTAACACTATCTTCCCCTCTCTCAGGGGCCCGCCCGCGCGCCTGCGGGACTATATTTAGTAGCAGGTCTTATCACTGCCCCTTATCTGTAGAGTCTCTACCCTAGCCTCGCACATGGTACTTTAGGTAACTATAGGATCAGCCGCCAAATCAGTGGTGAAATCAGCCACTCGGGTTCTCAAGGTCTGTGAGAAGGCTAGGGAGCCCCCCAGCAGCTACTCTCAACTTGTAATGGTACGGGCTCGGGCAACGTACCACCAAATGGACTATGGTGGCAGGACTGCCCCCGGAAACCAATCCCCGGACCGCCCCAATCCGAGCGGATTGGGGTCGGGGGCGGGGGGTCTGGCAGCCCAAATATTTTCAGCAAGCAACTGGCCAGGCAGCAGGTTCATCCGTCCGGAATATTTGGAAATCCGCTCCGTACGGAGTGTAGTTTTAATTGGCCTAGAATATTAGTTTTCTAATTGGCCAACACGTCCTCATTGCCGCTTTTTGCTCCTGTTTCAAAAAGGGCCAGTCGCATGATGCTAGCTAAGCCAGCATTTCATTCCCGAAAACACAACCATCTGGTTGGTAAATAATTCCTTTCAATACACCTACAATTTCTTATCTGAGCAGCATGTCAATCCCTGTAAGGGACAGGACTCTGACCCCCGGTCAAGTTGAGGGATTGATATTCAATGGACAATCAATCATCATCGTCGACCAGAAAGTCCTGCGCCTCGACGCGTGGATCCCGTACCATCCGGGAGGCCACAAAACAATCGAGCATATGGTCGGGAAGGATGCGACGGACGAGATTTCAGTGTTTGTCCCCCCCCCCCCGGCTAACAAGGGGATCAAGAGAACTCGTTGACCGTTCCAAGATTCCACTCAGAGGAAACGCGCCGGCAAATGGATCGATACCAGATCGGCAGGGTCGAAGGTCGTTGGCATAATTTCGTGCCGCCTATCCAGGGAGGCTCTTTTCGGCCTTATCCAGAGACCGCGGAGGCACAAGGAGTGACCATGAGTGGAGAAGAATCCGGAAATGTTTCTCTCGGTCCGGTTGACACATCGGATGTAGGCGCCTCAGAACTCAACTATTGGCGCCTTCATCAGGAACCTCAGGAATCTCAAGGGGAAAACCAGGGAGAATTGGCCTTTCTCGATTCGCAGACTAAAGACGATGTTACTTTGACACTCGCTCGGTATCCATCGCTTGATCTGTTGACTCAAGACAAGATCATTGAGAAGTACCGTCATCTGCATAACCAAATCCAGGCCGAAGGCCTGTACCACTGCAATTACTCTGCATACGCCTGGGAGTTTGGACGCTGTTCTCTACTTTTCGGCATCATGCTGCTATTCCTTCACGCCGGGTGGTATTGTACTAGTGCCGTATTCCTCGGGTTGTTCTGGTCGCAGATGGTTTTTGCCGCTCATGATGCCGGCCACATGGGCATCACCCATGATTTCTTCATAGACAACTTGATTGGAATGATAATCGCAGCCCCAATTGGAGGCTTGTCATTAGGCTGGTGGAAACGCACTCATAATGTCCACCACATCGTCACCAATGCCCCGGAACATGACCCTGACAACCAGCACCTGCCGGTCCTCGCCGTGAATCACAGATTTCTCGGGAATATCTTCTCCACCTACCATGAGCGCCTGTTGCCGTATGATAAGGCGGCTCAATTCTTCGTTCAATATCAATCGTACCTCTACTATCCCATTCTGATGTTTGGGCGGTTCAACCTCTACGTGCAATCCTGGGTCTTTCTCGCGCAGGGCCAAGGCCCCCGAAAAGGCTCTGCGTGGTGGCATCGCTGGTTTGAGATTGCAGGAAACCTTGTATTCTGGCTCTGGTTTGGCTACGGAATTGTCTACCAATCTATTCCAACAGCCTGGAGTCGGGTTGCGTTTGTTATGGTTAGCCATATGGTCACCATGCCACTCCATGTCCAGTTTACCCTATCTCACTTTGCCATGTCGACAGCCAATTTGGGTCCGCATGAGTGCTTTGCCCAGAGAATGCTCCGAACTACCATGGATGTCGATTGTCCGGAGTGGTTGGATTTCATCCATGGTGGTCTTCAGTTCCAGGCCATTCATCATCTGTACCCTCGGATTCCCCGACACAACCTCCGACGCACACAGAAGCTCGTCCAACAATTTTGTCGGGAGGTTAACATCCCATATGCGCTGTATGGGTTCGTGGGCGGTAACAAGAAGGTCGTGGGCAGTCTTGCGGAGGTGAGTCGACAAGCTGCTATCCTTGCCAAATGCCAGCGGACAGTCGCACAAAGAGCGGATCTGATCCATGGCCACTGAACATTGAGTTGCCTCAGCCTTGGTCGCTAATCTAGCACTCCATGCTTGGTCATCTCTTAATAAAGATTGGTCGGGTAGATGTGTTATGCGGTAGTCCGGGGACGCCGCATCAAAGGCTGGATAACGTGCTAGGAGCGGCAATGGAGGATTGTATAGGGAACAGAAGGGAGCATGTATGCTAGAACTAATTACTGACCCTTGAAAGGATGAGGGGGTCAGGGGCTTATGTATACATAATCTATAGTATCTTTAATAACTCAGCACTCGCAGGTATTGGCAGGCAGGCTATCCAAGACTACTATCTAATACTATTTCTCTTTATAACTCTAGCCCCTAGACTCCTGTATAAATACTTTTATTTTGTTATATAAATTAGTGTCATTCAGTGTGGTTCGGGGCAGTTTTAATGGCGAAAACCCGCATAATCCAAAAATATGCTGATTCTTACCTAAAAAGGGCTAGTTAGGGCTAAGGATTAGGCTAAAGTAGACTAGTCTACCTGAGAACCTGCTTAGTAAGCTGATTTATCAGCAAAAATATGAAAATACCAGTTTTAGAATACCTGTAGTGAATATATGCATATATTGACACTAGTGTTTAAACTACTATATATATTTTATATAAAATTCTCTAATTTATATGTATCTTATATATAATTAAATATATTTAAAATCCATACATTTCTTATATAGAATTTTTAATAATATTATCTAAATACTCTATATAAAGAGATTAAATTAAGCTAACTCTACTTTTCAGGTCCTGTAATTAGAGTGGGTTAACCTGACTATTATTAGATCACATAATTTCTAGTTATCTCTGTATAAGAAACCTGATTCTTTTTTAAATAAGTGGCCCTGGGCTTCTGCCTGGCTATGCCGCCTTTATGGGGTACATCATTAGGTTTCCGTCACACCCTTGTAATGAAGCGATATGCAGGTAAACTATTCTAGATACATGATTATTGTATCCACTATGATGTTCCAAGCTACCTAAGAGCGAACTTTAAGCCTCGCCTGATAGGCCTGTGATTAATTCCACTTTAACCTGCGCTAGCAAGGCAGTGCCTTTGTGTTTTACAAAGCTCGGAATACAGAATACCAGCATCTCTCAAGAGCAACACTCTTACTCCTAGGACAAAGTGGAACCTTCTTAAGATCTAGGCACCTTGTTCTCAGGACAAGTAGATCCTGGGAATATCAGGTAATATCTGGCTACAGAGAAATGTTGCGGAGTCACTAGATAATAATCTAAGTAGTTACAGACTAGGTTCTGATAAAAGACTTATACTGCATAGAGCTGACATAAGATGATTTTCTTTACTATAAATATAATATTCTCTAGAGTATCTCTTAGAGCTGTAATCTTTTATCTTAGCATATTAAAGTATTACATATATAGGCTATAACAAACAGTAGCACATATAATAAAATGGCTTTCTATAATAAAGATATAATGCTGACAGCTATTACCATTAGTATCAAAAACACACAGGGAGAGTAGTATAACTATTATTACTAGGCAGTATAGTGCTTAGTTATCTGTCCAGTAACCACTTTATATCCAGAAGCAGCTATATAATATCCGTACACACTGCAGAGACAAAGACATTGTTATCAAGATAGGGATCGCCCCTGAATGGATAGTGCAAGTACTTGAATATAACATCTGCCTAGACAGGCCCTGCTTTCCTGCAGACTTCTTGCTCAAGGTGCCATGTAATCTGATCTTCTGTTTCAGAAGAGATATTGCTAGACCCTAATATAAGAAAGCAAGAGAGAGGCTTGTTTATTATTAATTCTAAGAGCA